GCCGTCGCCCCACGATCGCCACGTAGAGTGAGGCCCAGGCCACCCTCTGTGGCACGATTGATGGGAGGCTCCACAATTGATCGCCCCAAAGAGGGAGGCTCAGGCTACCCAGCCGGTGGCACTGCAGCAGGTGTGCAGGACCTCTCTCTGCGGGGCAATCGATCTGGGGGCCCGGAGATCAACCGCCCCACAGAGGGAGGCCCAGGCCAGCCAAACAATCGTATCCCATGCTTGTCGCCCGCAGAGGGAGGTGACTAATGGTGGGGGGGGGGCAGTGTGCAGTGCCGCAAAGGTGGCAAGCAGTGGTGGGGGCGGGGCCAGCTGCCAGCAGCCAGGGGAAGGAAAGCCCCGATAGGCCCTGATTGTGGGCCAGGCCTTGGGACCTTACCTGAGTGGATTGCGAGAGGGCGCAGGCCGGGCTGAGGGACATCCCCTCTCCCCCACTCCTGTGTATGAATTTCGTGCACTGGGCCTCTAGTTTCTCTATAAGAATAGATCTTAAGACCACTTAAGCAAAGAAAAAGAAAAGTGTGGCCAGTGGGCAGGAACTTTAGCAGAGGATTCATAAACAAGGACTGTAAAGCAATTGGATGTGTTTACATTTCAGCCAGTGCACTAAGAATGTGTTTGTTCTCTGCTGGTACTCACTCTTAAGCTTAAGTTAAACAGCTAAGATTACAAAGTGCTGGATGTGGAATGATCTGTTCCTGAAAAGTAAAAATAAATTTCATGTTGGTTTCAGATTGAGATCACGGAGAAGAATCCTGAGAGCTACCTCTCTGCAGGAGAAATCCCTCTCCCTAAGCTATACATTTCTATGGCCTTTTTCTTTTTCCTTTCTGGGACCATCTGGATTCACATCCTTCGAAAACGACGGTAAAATACTACTTCCTTAAGTCCTTCAGCTTCGAGTGGGTTGGTATTTGTACAATTTCACCTTTGCTGGCTTCTGCACCTGGGCAGGATTGGCACCGGCCATTTTGTTCTCTTCAGAGGGCATCTTCCCTGAAACGTAGGACACTGTAGGAGCTTTGCATGCCTTGGTGTTTGCATCCCATTGTTTTGCTTAAAAGGCAAATCCAGAGATTTCAATAATATACAAGCAAAGAAAATGTATATAAGCTGAGCATTTCCATAGCGAAGAGATCACAGTGCAGCACTCCACGTGAACACATTGGTCCCAGTCGGGCTCTTTGTTCTTGAGAACAGGTGAGGGACAGCGACCCACTGCCTGGCCGAGAGCCTGAATTACCACTTCGTACAGAAGGCCTCAGCTCAGAGCGGGGCGGGGAGAGCTGCTGACCTTCCGGTACTGACCTGGGCTTGTCACTGGAGAAATCCTCTTCAAAGCCCATCTGCCTGGCTGTTGGCTTTTCTGCTGAAACCCCTGTGGCTTTAACTTCCTGTCCTTGGCTCTTGAGGAGACCAGCTGCAAGCTGCATGTAGGTGGAGCTAATGTTTAATTCTGTCTCTCTCCCCCAAAATTGAGAAGCAAGATATAATTTTCAGTTAAAGGATACAATTTTGTTATAGGATAAGGCCCATAAGCTAAGTAAATGATGGCGTGTGAATATGGTATTGCAACATGGGTTAAGTTAAATTTATATAATAATCAAGGACCCCAAATACCTCTTTCTCTGGAGTGTTGGGGCAGACATTGATGCCTCTGACGGCTCTTGCGGCCTGTGTGCGGGACATGCTCAGCTGGGAGCAGCTGTAACACCCTGCCCACCACCAGACGGAACGAGCTTTTTGTTTATCTGGGAAGGACCCCACCTAGGCACTTGGACTAGACGATCAACAGCCGTGAATAAGACGACAAGAATCCTATGAAGTTAGGCCATAGAAGGGTTTTGTTTAGTTTAAAGAAAGTTTTGCCTTTGCTTTAATTAGAAGAGTGAGAAGTGGGAGCAAGAGCTGATTTCCAGCGTGAACGCGGTTACGGCCTGTGTGCCTGCTTCGCGCTCGGTCCTTTCCCGCAGCTGTGAAACTGGCAGTGGGTCTTGCGCTGGCTTCCTCTGAGAGCTGAGTTCTTGAGATTTATGTGCAGGAGGGCTTTGCACATCAGGATGCTCTGCAGATGTGAGGCACATGTGAGGCGCTTTCATTCCCTTTACTTAGTGATACAACAGTCATGGGCACTGGTTCACTTAAATAATAAAAACTGGCAGCAGTTTTAAATGTGTGGTTAAATGAGGCTGACCTACTTTGTACATGTTCTAAGCTTCTTATTGAAGTATAGTATACATACAAAATGTATGATTTCCGGCCCCCCACCCCATCCTCTTGTTTCCCTGGGAGTCTGACAGCGGGTCGGGTCATGTGAAGTTGGAAATTCAAGTCATGGAAAGGATGGGACTCCGTGGCTGTCGCTGCCTTTCAGAGGCTTGCAGCCCCTCCCACTGGAAGGAGTTGAGAGATCTCTGCTTGGATTTATTGAGGCCTTGACAGGGGAAGCGAGAGCCATGGGCAGTCAGCTATGGAGCTGGGACTGGAACCCAGATGTCCTGCTGTGTATACGTGGCTCCTCCCCGCTCTGTGCTGTCTGCCTTGGGCCCAGAGCCCCGGGGCAGTGGAGGGAAGCTGGTCGTTTTGAGTCAGGCACCTGGTGGTGGTTATTTTAGCTAATGTCCCCACAGCTCCTTGAGGTAGGCAGGTGTAGCCCCATTTTTAGAAAAGGTTACTGAGGTTTAGAGGGATGAAGGTCTTCGGAATAGAACTAGTATTGGAGCCAGTTCTGTGTGGCTTTGGAGCCCGTGTTCTTTCTATCACCTCACGGCTCCAGGCGGGAGGCGGGGAGGTTTTACCCAGGACTGCTAGCTAGCTAGTCAAGGTTGCTGGGGGGCGGCGGGGAGGGCGGGGTGACAATGGGCAGTTTTGCCCTGTGGTAAATCTAATTGCTATTCACAGTGACAGACTACTCTGGCCTTGACTTCCTTTTTGACTTTTGGGCACTGGGATAGGAAATTACCGGAGAGGAAATCATTCTGGAAACAGCATGTGTCAGTTCAGGGCACGCCCTCCTTATCATCCTTGCGAGGCCCTCTCCTTCGTTTCCCTTCATTTCCTATCCCTTCTCTCATTCCTTCCCAACTACTCAAATGTGTTTATTATGTGTTTTCTGATGTTTGTGCACTTTTGTAAATTAGTAATGTTTATTCATGTTGCATGTATTTTATTTTTTATTTTATTGATTTTTTTTACAGAGAGGAAGGGAGAGGGAGAGGGAGTTAGAAACATCGATGAGAGAGAAACATCGATCAGCTGCCTCCTGCACACTCCCCACTGGGGATGTGCCTGCAACCAAGGTACATGCCCCTGACCGGAATCGAACCTGGGACCCTTCAGTCCGCAGGCTGATGCTCTATCCACTGAGCCAAACCAGTTAGGGCAATGTTGCATGTATTTTTAATTTATGTAAACTATACTATCTATGGATATTATTATTAGCATTTTTCATATGGTGATATCCGTTCTGTTGATTTTTTTTGTCTGATGTCCCACTGTCCACATTTTGTACTGCTGTGGCTTTGCCGAATGTCTTGATACCCGAGTTGGAGTTTCCTGAGGCTCTTACTGAAGTCTGTGTTCTTTAATAGACTTTTAACTCTTTCTCCAGAATGGTCTGTGTGTCCTATTGGTTAAGTCCTGGGGGAGGTGGGGAAGGGTAGTGGAATGTAGTGCTCAGTAGCCCAAAGGTGGACAGGCACCTGAGTGAGCCTGGGGGTGGGATGGACGTGGGTGCTTTACCCCACTGGCCTGGGGTGTTTGGCAGGTTCCAGCCTTGAAGGGGAGCGAAGAGGGCACAGCCCTCCTTGTCACCTGGCGCTGATCCGCCTCCTGGGGCTGCACATTTCCCGGTGAGCTGTAGCTCCTCCCCTCTGTTCACTGCGGTTTCAGTGTCCGCAGATCCATCCAGTCCACTTCCTGTGGCCTTTCCCGATGGCTTCTGCGGAGAAAGCCTGTTCTGATTTCTGTCTCACGGTCTCAGACTCTTCAGGCTTCCGTGCATGACTCAGTTCCATTTGCAGTGTGGGCTTCGGTGGTAGAGGTGCCTCTAGGGCTCCTTCAAGGCATGTTTGGGGTTTGCTTAGATTACATTTACTGCCTTCTTATAAAAACGTCTGATGCCCGAGGCTTCAAGCTGTCGTGTGGGAGAATGGAATATTTCTTTCATTCTTTTCTCTCTGTTTTTATAGGAACGATGTATTTAAAATTCACTGGTTGATGGCGGCCCTCCCTTTCACCAAGTCTCTTTCTTTGGTCTTCCATGCAGTATGTATGGGTATTTTGGGGTCATTTATGAAATGATGTTCACTCTGTATGATGAGGAAAATCAGTGAGGGAAACGGGGATAGATCCGTGGGAAACCACAGGTAAAGAACGCCTTTCTCAGGAAGCCTCTGGCGGGAGGGGCGCTGGTCATGGGCGTAAAGCGTCAGAGCCTGGAGTACCAGACGCAGACACCTTCTGATAGCAGCGCAGGCCCGGAGTTTCCCTCGGACACAGGCTTGTTTTCATTTCTTTGTTTGGGTGGGTGTGTGGGTTGGGTCATTTCTTGAGATGAGACTGCCACCTGCTGAAGTGTGTCCACAGCTCCCTCTTCCAGACCTTCCCCGCGTTCCCATTTGATTGCAAGTCCAGTGTTGGCGCTCTTATTCGAGAGAAAATCGATGCTCTACACACAGAGGCGTAACATTGAACTGAGCTTTGACTGTTTCGCCTCGATGCTGGTTGCCATGAGCCTGCCCCTGAGAGTAAGGTCACAGCTCCCCAGTGTGTAGGCCTACGAGGCTCCCGCAGGTGACAGTCTCCACATGTGCACTACTTACTGCTGCACTTACAACGCCGTCAGGGAAAAGTAGCAGTAGCCACTTAGTCTGAAGAGAGGACAGGTATCTGGGTGATTTTTTATTTGGATCTGAGCTGATTTTTTTTTTTTTGAACCATGTAGATAATGAGTGATGGGATCCTTGAGTGACTGTAATTTCCAGGTAGCCGTGTATGATAGGATGAACGATGTGTAAGAAACGTGTGTCCCCTTTGTGAGTTCTGCCACGAGCATGGTAGTGCACTTCTGAAATGTGCCCCTTTAATTAAAATGAGATGCTGGCTTCAGGTAGCTCTAAATTCACAGACTTTCTCCCCCCAAAGAAAACAGTTTTCGAAGCTGGGTGATTCCATGTAGGTTTTTACTGAGTGACTGGGTGGTGAGAGGTAAAGTTCTCGGTGGGACACTGAGAAGACGTGTGGCATTTGGAGCATGGAGATTGGAAAAAAGAGATGAGGCAGCCATTTGCCCGGGGGAATCGCCTGCCTCAAGAGAGGGACCCAGGCTGAGTGTCAGTGACACTGAAACGTGTCAGTTTCTCAAGCTGGTTGACATTGTTCGCGCACTCATGTGCTTTATTGTGAATAGACAAGTGAGTCACTGGACACCTTATCATGAGGTCTCTGTGGATTTCCGTTTGACTGCACTGGGCGGGGGCCGGCCATTGCCCTTTCTGAAATGCCGTTCGCTTGCAGATCGACTACCACTACATCTCCTCCCAGGGCTACCCCATGGAAGGCTGGGCTGTCGTGTACTACATCACTCACCTGTAAGTATGCAGGGTGACTCGTGACGTACTCATACCGGGACGTGACATGTCAGGTGTTGGGGAAGGGACCTGGCTCAGGTTGACTGGCCCGCCCTCCTGTGCAGCCTGGCTGGGTTCCTGCCGTGCCAGAGGGGTGTGGTGGACGGGTAGCTGTCCACACTTGAGAACTCGGGGCTGTTGCGGGCCCCTGGGAGGGGGCTGCTCAGGTGATGGGCTGCATAGCTAACTATTTGTGTGCGGAGGACTTGCTCACTTAAGACGAACTTCCTGGATTTGGCCACCTGTCTTTTGCAAGAAGCACGTGAAATCATAGCATGAGCTGTGGAATCTAACTTGCAGGGTGGGACTCCAAAGAGGCCCATTTGTGTCTGTGACATTTTTCTTTCTCAGTTTGAAAGGGGCCCTGCTGTTCATCACCATCGCGCTCATTGGCACTGGCTGGGCTTTCATCAAGCATATCCTTTCCGATAAAGACAAAAAGATCTTCATGATTGTCATCCCACTCCAGGTGAGGGATGCTCCTCCGCTGTGCTGCTCTGTCCCCCACTTAGCCGCTCCAGGCCTGTCCGGGAGCGGGCGTGGCCCACACAGAAACGCCATCTTCCCCATGCGGGGTTCTGTTTCTGAATGTGGACAGGCCTAGGCCTCAGGCCACGGCACTGGGAGATGTTTGACCGCCAGTCATCTTTAACCGGCACATGGACACCTGTCCCTCAGTAGAGGGCTGCTGAAAAGTTAGGGGACCTGCTGGCTTCTCTTCCTCACCCGTGTGTCCTGTAACCAAATGGGCCTCTTAGCAGAGGAACTCAGTACATAGCGATTTTGTTAAATTATTTTAAAATTCTGAATGACACCAGTGAGTTCCCACAAGGTAGATGTTGGCAAACACTTCTTTTTTTTTTTTTTAAATATATTTTATTGATTTTTTACAGAGAGGAAGGGAGAGAGATAGAGAGTTAGAAACATCGATGAGAGAGAAACATCGATCAGCTGCCTCCTGCACACTCCCCACTGGGGATGTGCCCGCAACCCAGGTACATGCCCTCGACTGGAATCGAACCTGGGACCTTTCAGTCCACAGGCCGACGCTCTATCCACTGAGCCAAGCCGGTTTCGGCGGCAAACACTTCTTAGAGCCTCCCTGTGCTTCGGCCTCACCAGTGAGCCCGCAGGAGAGGAGCCTTGGAGCAGAGCTGGGTGGAAAGGGCCCTAGTAAGCAGTGGTCCTAACAGCGGTGCACAGCTACTCTGCTCGGCCGAAGTGCGCCTGCTCGATAAAGTTGTTCTTGCCACCCGGGCTCATCCTGGAGCCCACTGTCAGTGTGGCAGGCGAGGGAGGGACGAGGCCAGCCCCGGGCATGCAGGTCAGCCTGCTCAGCTCCGGTGCAAAGCACTTCACATCAATAACAAGGGATACACGTTACCGCCAAACCATGGTACACACCAGTTACTGAAGGGTTCCCAGGGAAGACTGGTCATCCAGGCTCTAATGACCTGGCAGGCTTTGTGTGTGGATGGGCCTTGCCTCGATGCTTAAGCAAAGAAAGATGACAAAGATGACAGAGGCCCAGGGGGAGTGGCAGCAGTAGGAGGTGCTGTCCAGTGGACAGAGGTGCTGAGCACCCAGGTCTTGGCTGATGAGCCGCCAGGGTCTAGAGCTCGTGAGTGACGAGCCCGGGCCTCTGCCCACTCTGCCACACAGCTCTCTGAGCCCCTTTTCCTCTTGTGGCCGCTCCCTCCCCTTCAGTGTGAACTTCCTCCCGGCCTAACTGTGCGGTGACCCGGCTCAGTCCTCCCACTGCCCCCATTTGTTCGTCCGGAGGAGCAGCGCACAGGGTTATGTGGCAGGTCACTTGTGGCAGGTCACTCGAAGAAATGGCATTTAATCAGTAACTGTAAATTTCAACATGGAGACTAGCCTAGGAAGGCCTTGAACAGCAGCCTGAAAAGTTAAAACTGCTTCTTTCTGGCCATGGGAGCCACTGCACATTTCTGCGTAAGAAGTGAGTGCTGCACAGAATGGCGTTGCAAGAGCGTTATTGCCCGTTGCTGCCCACGGCACCTCGGGGACTGGAAGCCAAGGACACGTGCAGTTAGGAGTTCAGGCTGTGGAAGCCTGTTCTCCGCTCTGTCTTCGCAGACGGAGCCTCAGAGACAGGTGCGAGGGTAGACTGGGCTTCGGGAGGAGCCCGACGCGGCGTGTCAGCGGGAGACTGGCATTTCAGGGTCACTGCGTTAGTATCCAGTGGTGTATGCTTCTCTGGTGATTGAGCTGCATGAGTCCTCGACAGAGAGAGAAACTGCACCTGGAGACTTCCCAATACAGCACAGCGGATTTTGCATTTTTGTTCAAGTGGAACATGACCGTTGCGAACAGCACGTCAGGCCGAGGATTGGGAGCTTGGCCTCGTGGGGGGTCGGGGTGGGATGAGCCGCTGCCTCCACACCTAGCATGGTCTTTGAAAGAACATCCCCGAGGCTGTCCCCGTATGCTGAGTAGCACCGCAGGTTTCCGGGTGTTGCCATCTCAGTTTAGGCAGCCGCAGGACTTTTCAGAGCACGCAGAGAGCTTAACAACAGACTGAACACACGAGACAGAGCCCTGACGGGGCATGGAATTAGAGCACGGGCGCAGCTGGACCTCCGTGGGAAGCACAGCTGGACAGAGGACCTGGACTGGAGTTACTCCTGGGAGGGCGATGTGGCTCCTCAGTCAGTGGCTGAAATCCGCCACTCTTGCCGCTCTGGTCTCTGATGACATCACCTGGCACTTAGCAGAGGTACTGTCACTGAGGAGCCTGGGCCTGTGGCTGAACAGGAGTAAAGTGCAGCGCCTGCCTGGTGCCTGCGAGGCCTAGGGGGCTTGAAAAACCACCCGGCCTGGGTAGCCGCTGCTGTACAGCAGCCCCCATTCAGGCTCCGTTCTGTGGCTCGGCCGTCGGGAGAGGCTTAGCTAGGTAGGTCTGCCTTGCTGTCCCAGCAGTTAGAGCAGACGGAGGCCAGGGCTGGGCCACCTGGAAGTCTCCACCTGCCTCCTCCTGGGCTGGAGAGACTTGATCACATGGGCAGGGGCTCCTGGGCTTTCTCTCTCTCTGCCTGGTCTCTTCAACGTGGCAGCTCCAGGCAGGCGGACTTGTTACAGGAAGGCCCTGGCTCCACAGGTGTCTCTCTAGAGAGCCAGGCAGAAGCTGGGTCCTTTGACCTACCTGGGACATCGCCTGGCGTCACTCCACCTTACTCAGTTGGCCAAGCAGAGACGGCGTCTTGGTGGGAGAGAGCACGTGGGAGTGCTGCTGTGGCCATAGGTTGGGGGCCTACTGGCCCCAGTGCCCCCTCCCCGCCTTGTTGGGGCTGCTGTTGTGAGAGTCTACCTGTGTTCTGGGGCCTCACTGACTTCTCTGCCCTGTAGGTCCTGGCAAACGTGGCCTACATCATCATAGAATCCACCGAGGAGGGGACCACGGAGTATGCCTTGTGGAAGGATTCTCTGTTTCTGGTGGACCTGCTGTGCTGTGGGGCCATCCTCTTCCCAGTGGTGTGGTGAGTACCCACAGGGAGGGAGGCTTGTCTGTCAAACCCGGCAGCTGGGCCAGCCATTCCCAAACTGGGAAGCACGTGGGGCATCTGTGTAAAGCACACAGCTTTCTGGGTCCCAGACCATCTGAATCATCTCAGGACCCTGGCTTTGGTGTCCTGTCAGGTTCCCCAGGGGATCCTGATGGAGCTAGTCTGGCAGCCTGGCTGGTTTGTAGCGCAGGCTGGCAATAGAGTCTGGAAAGGAGAGCTTAGCAGCAATGTAAATAGCATGGATTTGAAAGGAAAGGAGTTGAAGAAAGCCCATAAATAAGCTCTTCTTGCCAAGGTAGATGGGAAAAAAGGAAGAACATTAACATAAAACTAGTGCTAGTGCCCAGCCCAGGTGGCTTAGTGGTTAAGGGTTGACTCGTAAACCAGGAGCAGCAGGTTCCAGGGCCACATGCCTGCACGCCCCCTACTGGGTATCAAGCCAGTTGCGGGCTCCATCCCGGTAGGCGGCGTGCAAGAGGCAGCGATCAATGATTCTCTCTCACCATTGATGTTTCTACTCCCTCTCCCTTACTCTCTGAATCAATAAAAACATTTTTTTTAAAAAAACCTAGTGCTAGTTCTGAGCATGTAAACATTTTGGACATCCTCAAGAATGGTGGCTTTACTCCTGGACATGGCAGGCGATGGATGCAGAGCTTGTAGAGAAGTGTGAGGCCAACTCAGCGCGTGATGAGAAAACGTCCTCATTAAGCCTCATGCAAACTGAAGGCAGTTCTTGGTCCACAGGGAAGCAAGTAGAGGGGAAAGGCTAGCAAAAATAAGACACTCCCCTTATAACAATCCAGTTCCGTGCTCCTTGAAAGCAATGAATTATTTTGGAATAAACATTAAAAACAGTAGATTTCCTGCTTCCTATTAGAGGTGAGGTATTCCACACTGCAATGCCTCATGCACTTAAGTTAATATTTTTTAGGATCCTGGGTTTATAGGTCATTTACTTATTCTGATTATTTAGGACATGGTGTCAGTGGAGTGTAGTCCTCATTCCAGCCAATTAGATTCACTCTTAATTGGCTCAGGAGCAAGCACAGAGACGACATCTTGGTGGGAGAGAGCATGTGGGAGTACTTAACCCTCATTCCATATATCACGCATGTACAGGTGATAATTCAGCAGAGAAGAGAATTCAAATGAGCTATTTTATCTCTGCAGCCTCCTCACATCCTGCCCAGGAATAAGTTAACTCAGGTGTCTGTGACCAGATGGCCAGCATTGTCTTCAGGCAGGAAGTGTCCTGGGAGCATTTGAGATCATGTCCCCCAGCGTATACCATCAGTTAGACACATTTCAAGAGAAAGAAAGAGAGCAGCCTGTTGCTCGGGAACAGAATAAGAATACTCACACCTGCCACTCAGCAAAGTAGAAGGTTCAAGGGCGCACGGGGAGACCCAGACACGCTGTAGAGGCACAAAGGCCCACTGCCTGCCTCTTGCTCCTTACAGCACTAACAAGCAGATGCCGCAGGCAAGCTTCTGTCAGGTAAATATTCTGAAAAGCTGTACAAGAGAAAAGTCAACTACCAGAGAGGAGATTTAAGAAGCAGCCACATTTGGACATGAAGTGCACAGTGTTTGGAAAGGTTATGGATGGTCTGGAGGCTCTAGAGCAAGCATGTCAAACTCAAAGGCTAACGGGCCAAATAAGCTAGGTTTAAGTGTCTGTGGGCCGCAAAAAGACAAAAGCTTCAATTTTTATAGAAACGTAGGTTTATTTCGATAGAGACATGCTGAACACAAAGGGTTAAAGTAAATGAGTAATTGTTAACATAAAATAATAGAACATTTTAATAAAAATTAATATTTTTTCTTGAACATTAACTTAACCAGACACTGAATAACTGCACAAATTAATAAGCGAAATGCAAATAAACCTATTTTTCTTGTTCTCCTAAAACGAAATATTTCCTGTTGTGCATAGCAAACAAGTCAGTACAAGACTAATGACGTGGCAATGGGCTAAAATATTTGCTGCTAGTATTAGTGGAGAGAAATGGTCGCCTGCGCGTAAGGCACATAAGGAAAATGAATGCAACACGATATTGTGAAAATTAAGTTACAAAATTTTTATTAAAACATTTCTTACATACCATATGTTGACTGGGCCGCAAAAATATTCCTTGTGGGCCAAGAGTTTGACATACTTGCTCTAGATCAATTGGAGACATTACCAGTAAATGAGATGTATTGATCTCTTAATGCCTCATTATGCCTCGTTTAAATAAACGAGGCATGTGGCCTGCTGGCCACGAGTTTGACATGCTTGATGTACACATTAAGGATTCGTGCCAACCCATTTGCTCAGTAGCTATAACAGACATGGACAGCTACTTGGCAAACTATTTGAGAACCACACCTGTCGTGGTTTACTCACTTTTAATTATGTCAGAGGTTGCATCATCCTGCTTGATCATAACTAAGATCTTCTGAGCTGGTGGTTCCACTGGGAACCAAATGGTTCTTATCCCATTCTTACACCATATCCTTTACCATAATTAATGTCTAATGTATTTGTTTAACTTTAATTTTTGTTACATAAAAACATTCATTTTTAAATGCTGAGTCTCAAATCAGTCATTTTTGAGCATCCTAGTTATAAATTCCTACTATATCTAAAAAACACACAAAACATTCCAGCAGCGTTGGTTTGGTGTCACCTTTGTGCTACTTACTTTCAGGTGTTGCTCCATTCAGTTCTCACAAGTGGGCAGACCACGGGGGTTTTAGGAGAAGTAATTCATTCACAGTCAAGTGGAGAGTGGTGGACTCCAGCCGGGTCTGACCGTCTTCCCCCTGGCCCATAGCTGCCTGTGTTGTGCTCATCCTTAAAACGGTCTTTCCCTGGGTGAACTCTACCTAGAACTCTGATCTGCAGTTTCTTTAATCATATTAATGTTCTCCTGCCAAAACTGTAATGACGGTCATTAGTTACCAGCACATCCCAGCCGGAAAAGAGACTCCCTGGAGGCCTGCATTTTTCAGCCAAGTTACAATCTCTAGTCAGTGAAAGACTGAGTTTGTATGAAGCCATGTGCACGGCTCCTAGACCTAGACTTTCAAACCCATTCTCTCCAGGGAGCAGGTGAGATCCATGATGTTCCATTGTCTTAGTGTCGGGTAGTCGTAGGAATGAGATTAGAGAGATCAGGAATGTTTGTCTCCTCATGCCCAGGCCTCTGCCAGACAGGTTTTGGTCAGCAGGGCATCTGTACCTTAGGCTTGGGCACCATACATGCTGAAGTGGTGATGATCGAGGGTCACCTGGTTAGCAAGAGTCTGAAATCGTCCAGTTTAACCCTTTGAGTTTATAATCGAGGATTTCAAGGCCTCAAGTTACTGGCCCTGGAAGTAGAGAGGAGTGCAGATTTATTAGCTAACCTTTTGTTCCCCAAATGTTTGTTTTTAGGTCAATCAGGCATTTACAAGAAGCATCGGCAACAGATGGAAAAGGCAAGTTCCCTGGAGCTCTCTTCGGCTGCTCAGCCTTCCCCAAAACCACGCGCCTGGGCACTGCTGGGAGGTGGAGGAGGAAGGGTGTGTCTCTGGGCTGTCTCCCCAGGAGCAGAATGGGGGTGCCCGCTTGGGGGGCTGGGGGGCTTGTAGAGCCGCCGAAGGATGTTTGGTGAAGACACGCAGATGGCGCACAGTGCAGAGGCCTGCTCGGTGAGGAGGCTGGGGGGGACCGCTGCTTATAAGCTGGTTCCTGTCATTTCCGCTCGTGAGTGTGATTTCCACCTTCTCAAAATTGCGTCAGAAAGAGGAATCTCGTCTTGGAAGGAGCAGGCAGCACTCACTGTGACAGCGGTGGTTTATGGATGGGATGGCTCTGTGTAGAGCACCCATCCCTGCTGGCTTAACACGCTTCCAAAGTGGACGTGTTGGTATTAATTTAAAGTGAGCCTGCTGCCGGAAAGAGCCTTGAAACTCTGCTTTTTAAATGGTTGTGCCATTAAGGCCCTTTTGCGTCTCCTTGATTTTCCAGCCACGCCTGCTACGTCGGAAGCCACAGAGAAAATGTCTTGTGTGTTCCTGGGCTTGTTGGAATACTGTCCACGACTGCAGGCCATCTGGTGTTGGGGGTGGGGGTTGGGAGCACTGCTCTCAGAGGTGGGAGCCGCCTCTGGGTCCATGAGATCACCACTCAGTGCTGATAGTGATGTTCTTTTTTTAAAAAAATTTTATATTTGTTGCCAAGTGGGTTTTATTTTTTGAGGACCTTATACCTTTTCTTTCCTAGTTTTTTTGAAAAATATATTTATTTTTATTTATTTCAGAGAGGGGTAGACAGATAGAAACATCAGTGATGAGAGAGAATCATTGATCAGCTGCCTTCTGCACGCCCCCTACTGGGGATCGAGCCCACAACCCAGGCATGTGCCCTTGGCTGGAATCCAACCTGGGACCCTTCAGTCCGCAGGCCAACGCTCTATCCACTGAGCCACACCGGCTAGGGCTGATAGTGATGTTCTTTAAGGCAGATTATTCATTTGTTGTTAAATGTAAGTTTTGTTGCTGATCTGTTTTCTGATTATAAAAGTAATGTGGATTTCGTTTAGGAAATGTGGAAAACAGATAGTAGGTGCCAATCTTTTTCATATTTACTATTCAGTTAATGTCAGGTCATTTCTTAAAAGTGAATTAAACCTGATTAAGGCTTCACACCAGTGTTGGGCAAGATCCTGGGGGTCTTAGGGCACAGCATTCGGGAGTATTCCTGATTTGGCCGAAAGAGCTTCTGTTGCGATTCCTGCTCTCTGGCCCGTGTAACGCCCTTGCTCAGCGCGGCCTGCTGTGTGAGGGTCCTGCCTAGGCTGGGAGCCCTGGGCAGTGCTCAGAGCCCCTCTCCCAAGGCCTACCCAACAGTCTTCTGCTCATATCGTGCTGCGTAGCCTTCCTCCAAGCCATGGAAATCCCAGAGCCATCCTGCCTTCTGGGAAGGGGTAGAGGAAAATTGCAAAATATAAATTAGAATTTAAGTAAAGCACCTTACAAACAGAAAACAGAAAAATCCAAAGCAGAAAATAAGAACCCACCTTCTGGGTATAATTATAGTTTGGAGCTATTCTTGTTTTTTGTTTTTTCTTCTTTAATGCACATTATAAGTTGCTTTTATTATTTTTGTAACAATGAATAGGTCTTTCTCTTTATTATATTGATATGAGACGTTTTATTTGTCATCTCTATACACTTCAATATTTTGGACTTGTTTTTTGACTGTTTGGCTGTTCAGTTGAAAATGTTTGAGAATCCCAAGGGCAATGTTTTTAGTTGATAAATTTAATCTGTGCTTTTTTTCTTGGCTTCGTCCTTCCCCCCCTTCATTCTTCCTCACCTCCATCATTCTGGCCCCTCTGTCTCTGCCTTCTCCACCTTGCGTTTAGAAGGCGTGGGGATGACTGTCTCTGTGGCCGCTCATTCCATGAGAGGTTGGTCATTGGCTGAAGACTTACTGAGCTCTGGCGGGGTAGACAGCACAGCAGGCGAAGCCCAGGATGGGTCTGTCTTGTCCCCCAGCAGCTGTAGTAAAGAGAAAGGAAAGCTTTTGTTCTCACCTGGGGCACACGAGGCAGCTCCTCGTTTGTTCCACCAGGGGACAGCAGAGAGCGAATATGAAAACAGGAAGTCACGCAAGCACACCAGGACTCATTCACCATTCTCAGGATGACACACTGTTAAAGCACCCATTCCTCATGAGCAAATACCGCGAGCCCTCTGCAAGGGGACAGAGTAGATTAGAATAGGGATGTCTCCCGAGTTGATTTGGGCCACAGGATGCATTTAAGCTATTTCAGTCCGTACTTAGAAAAATGCTTATGCTTGTGACACTTCCAGAGTCACAGGAACAGCACACATCCATCCCCACCCCGCCCCCCAGTGCTGGGAGCCAGCCTGAGTATGACTGCAGAGTGGCTGCGCTTGCGTGTCCGTCCACTCCAGGACAGACGCAGGCGGTGCCAGACAGCTGGAGTGAGCCCGTGGCTGACTGACCGAGGTTCCGGGATACTGTGGTCTATGCGCTGTGCCCCTCAGCTCACCCCACCCGAGGTCTAGCCCATCCTGAAGGCCAGGGGCAGGAAGGTCTCCTGGATTTGGGAGCCGTTGCTGCATGGAACCTGTTCTTAGGCTCATTATTCCACTGACTCATTGCGTGACCTTGTCACTGACCTGGGCGTGAGACCAGTGTAAGTGCAGTCCAGGCTGACTAACTGCAAGTAGGGGAGGCCCAGGTCGTCCTGGGCCCGGGGCTGCACTCGGCGTGCAGGGGCTGTTTGTTTGGGTTCTGTTTACTTCTTTGTGTCTGGATTCCTTTTGACTGAACCCGAGGGAAACAGAAGGATGAAGCTGCCCACTGTCCTTAAGCTGTATCTTTGTCTCTTGTCACACACCTGCCTCTGTCAGGTCCTGTCATTTTGAGGCACTGCTGGCTGTGTCCTCTGGGAGGAAGTGTAATTGAGTCTCACACGGCCGCCGAGCTGTGGGCCGCTGTTTGCCTGCCAAGCTTTCCTGGCTGGCACTGCTCTTGCGCCTGCATCCCTGTCGGCTCCTCTCCAGTGTCGCTACCTTAGAGGACTGGCTTGGGGGTGTACACTGTACATTCATTCACGATTTCTGCTCCTGATCACCTATTTTTCCTTGTTTCTGAGGAAAATTTAGAGGACATATTCTGAGAAATTTTAGCCTTTATATGTGAGCTTCCAAAGCATGTAAGCCGAGAGCAGTTGGCTAGTTGGGTTTATGGAGGCTTTGTTGTGAGCTGCTGTAGCCGTATCGTCAGAGCAGCAGTTCACAAGAGGGTCCTCGGGGCCAAAACTACTTTTCTAATAAGACATGCTCAGCCTTTTTCGCTGTGGACATTTGCACCGATGGTGCAAAAGCAGAAGTGGGTCAAACAGCTGGCACTGAGCGGGGTTCAAGGCAGCGGCACCACAGGATGTGAGGGGCCAGTGCATTCTTCATTGCCTCTGCCTGCAGGGGGTGGGAAAGGCTCGTTTCAAGAGTGGCCTTGATGGATAGTGGACACCGCATGAGGTTGTCTTTTCACATCCTGTGTGATGGGCGGACCATGTGCGGGAAACACTTGTGCTGTGTGCCGCAGCTGGCGGCTGTCTGAGGAAGCCTGGGCAGGGGTCTGAGTGGCAGGCTGCACTGGCCACTCTCCTCTTGGGACACCTCTGGTATTTGGAAGAATGTTGGCAGTCATGTTGTGGTTACCCAGACTTCACTTTGGGAGACTTTTTTTCCTTTTCCGTCAGATGGGTAACGTGCCCGTGCAGTAACAAGGTTTGAGGGGGGCACATCTCACACGAGGATGTGAACACCCAGTCATCACCCTTAGGAACCACAAAGGACCTGACATTTTCTTGAAAATGATCCAAGTAAGCATGTCACTTCAGGAAAACAACTACAGGTATTTGTTGCCAGTGACCTAATTCTCTCTTGGAAGCACAGTTTTTAATTCAGGAAAACTTGGGTCCACCACTGCAGGCTCAACAGCTCTGGTTCTTAAAAGACTTCTGATGGGAGCAGGGCTGATATTAACAAGTATTTATGTTAAAAGTTGCATGTTTCCAAGAAGTGCCGAGCACAGTGGGACAGTATTCTTCACCGGATCAGCGCATGTCACACAACCGCCGCGTGAACACCAGGGGTCCCTTCAGAGTGCAGCATGGACCAGAGGGGTCAGTGTGGCAGCATGAAAATTCATGGCTACAGTCTCAGAGTCCCCTCCATCTTCCAGCACCTGCCATTTGTCAAGTTTTAGTGTAAAGACTGCTCACAGCTACCTGACAGCGCCTGCATCTCTGCTAAGGCCATACTTTCTCCATCTCCTCCAACCAAACACTCCTTCCCAGCACACTGGGAGTCCACTGTGTTCACTCAGCCAGACAGGAGAGACAGTGACAAAAGTGGGGAACAGTCCCACGCTTCTCAGGAAAATTTCTGTTATTTGTTAAGAAAAATATTATTATGAATTTTGTCACTTTTGAATGAATTATTAAATATTAGAGGCCCAGTGCATGGGTTCGTGCACCAGTGGGGTCCCTCAGCCTGGTCTGCGGGGATCCAGCAAAACCGGCTCTCCAGCACCCCCCTAGGGGTCCCAGATTGCAAGAGCATG